TCACAGACACACACACATAAACCGTGCGTGCGCCTCTCGCTCCCGCACTGGAGTCAGCGCTTGTGCCTGCAGGTTGCTCAGACCTGAAATCTAAGGGAAAAGCTCAGCGTTTGCGTCGCTGCTCCTGCCGCCGGTGGTGGTAGCGGTGAAGAGGAGAGGCGGTTGTGGGTTTTTTTTGCTTGGTGGCTTTTTTTTTTTTTCTTCCCCCTTGAATTCAATGGATCTGAACTTGGAGCCTTTAGATCTCGGCGGTATTGGAATATCTACATGCTGATCATCTTTGTTGTGACACATCAAGTCGTTTGGGGAAACCATCCGAAGACAGCAAGATGTTTCTCGTTCTCTTGTACTTCGCTTTGCCCTTAGTGGGTAAGTTGCTGGTGCCTGATTTCGGTCTGCACATGGCTTCATAAAGCAAGGCATAGGGTTTATGGGACCGGGAGCCTGATGCTTGTCAGTCTATTGTTTAGGCAGAACAGTGAAGTTTCCAGTAGTTTTAATGGCTCTGCCTCACATCAGTTAGCCCGGTCTACATAAAATCTCTGTAGGTTACAGACTTCGGTACTTGCCTGTTTAGCCTCTTGTTAAATTGGGTTCTCGCAAGTTACAGGGAAACTTTTCATTTAAATAAAATAAGGCTGCCTGGGGAGGGTGGGGGATGACAAGACCAGCTGAAGGATTACATCTTCACCTGAACCTGGCAACCTGCCCGACTGGTAGTGGTTTGCAGCCCAAACTGGTTTCCTTTCCACAGGAGAGGTTTGCGTTTCCATCCGCATGTGTCTGAGGGAGCATGTTGGGGGCACGATGGAGAGGAGAGAGTTAATGCAATTTGCTTTGTTCTCCTGCAAAAGCATCATACGTGGAGAGAAGTGGGGAGGGGGGGAAGTAACAAATTCTACCTTTATGCATATAGAACAAGCAAAAATGTGCACAGCCTTTAAAAAGTGACTGACGCAAAGACAGGCTAATATCAATCAGTGAGGATACTTATCTCTCAGAGCGGGCTGTTCCTGGATGTAAGTGAAATTACTGCAAAGTGAGGCTGAATATTTAACCCCTTAGTTAAACCCTGGAATGGAAAGCTGATTTGTTTCACCAAAATGGATCTATGGAATAACAAATGCTTATTTTATCAAGCACATTAATCCCTCCGGGGTTTCTTTCATTTTTCTGTTTCCTCATACATCAGCCGTTAGGGTTAAAAAATACTGTTTCCTTGGACTCCCCGAAAGGTGGATCTAAGCCCATGGAAACCCTGCGTGCTTTTTCCTAAGGCGTAGCATGAAGCCAGGAGGTTTGCAAGGTGCTGCCCCCGGGGTTGGCCGCATGTGCAGCGTGAGGAGGTGCCCCGTGCCTCCCGGGTGCTGCTCAGGACCTGGGGTTCCGGGCACCCTGCTCCCCCAAAGAGCGCGGGTCGCTTTGTGTCTGCTCTCCATAGATGTACTTTTGTCCGCAGAAGTGAGCGGGCTGCCTGGAGGGGAGCGCCTGGACTGCGTGAAAGCCAGCGATCAGTGTCTGAAGGAGCAGAGCTGTAGTACTAAATTCAGGACACTGAGGCAGTGTGTAGCCGGCAAAGAGAGCAACTTCAGCCGGGCCACGGGCCTGGAGGCCAAGGACGAATGCAGGAGCGCCATGGAAGCTCTCAAGCAGAAATCCCTGTACAACTGCCGCTGCAAGAGGGGCATGAAGAAGGAGAAGAACTGCCTGCGCATTTACTGGAGCATGTACCAGAGCTTGCAGGGTACGTGGCGAACGCAGAGCCCCCAGCGCAGGGTGCGGGTGTGCGGCTGCCCCCGAGGCTCGGGGGGCTCTGGGGCTGTGTCCCCGAGGTTCTGGCTGTGCCTGCAGCTCTGTGCCCGCAGCTGCCGGCCCTGGAGCCCCGCGCAGCTGCGGCTCCGCTGCCGGGCTGCCAAAGCCACAGCCAGATCTTCCTCCGGGGACCCAGTGACCTGCCTAAACCGCAGGCAAAGATAGGGCCACGAACATCACAGAAACAGTCATTTGGAAATATTCTTTTAGTCATGTTAAAACTCCTTAATTAGGACTCACCTAACAGGACACTGCGACTAGTTTCTTAAGTCTTTTTGCTGAAAGTTAAATATCATGTGAAGAGAAGATTGTTTTAAGTGGAAGTTTATGTTTTCCTTTCCTGTATTTACTAGCAGTATTGCCAGAGGCAGAAAAAAACCCAAAGTTTATGGTTCCTACAGATGGGCCACTTAGAAGAGATACGGCAGTGATTGACTCAGGACTGCTCTGTTGCTCATATTCATAAGGCAAATTTCTCTCAGTCTACTGAGAGCAGTCAGGTCCTCATATGAGAGACATCATTTTTAGTCCTGTCTTGCTGTGGCCCTGGAGTTGAAGGTGCAACCTCTCACTTCAGTGTGCTCCCCTTTTAACTTTTTTTAAAGTTGCTTCTGCAAAAAGGGAAAGAATCCCTTTCTGATAATTTATCCATATGTTTTAATGAGTCCATATATAATTTTTGCTAAAGGTAATAACAGACGTTTTCTACATCAAAATGTTTCTCTCCAGCAGCATCTTGTCAGCCGTGTTTCATACCAGAGATGCTAGTTTTTGGCTGTTAGCTGAGCTTCTCTGAAAAAGAGCTCTGCTGTTATGGTGAATGAAGAGGAGCATCCTTGCTACAGCCTCTCTCCTGCTGGCATGAGATGGGACAGTCCCTGTGATGTCACAGGCTGTCTGCAAATTATGACCTTAGCAGGGAGGAGGGAGAGAAGAGCTCAAGTGACAGGAATAAACAATTAGCTTCTTTCAGGTGTTTTTAGAGGCAATTATTTGAGAAGAAGTAGCCATATAAACTTTTTAAAAGGATTAAAGGGGAGTACTTTTCAGTGTTATGGAGTAAACATAAACAAAAAAATCTTATCCTGAATTCATGTGTAAGAAAAACATCCAAATATTTTTTGTCCTTAGGAAATGACTTGCTTGAAGATTCCCCTTATGAGCCAGTTAACAGCAGACTATCAGACATATTCAGGCTAGCACCAATGGTATCAGGTAAGCAGACTTGAAATTCTTTACTTAACACGTGATTTTGTAATTGAATTATGGAACTTTCAAGCAGTACTCATAAATAAAAAGAAATTATAATGGCTTCCTGGATTTAGGAAGCTCATGATATAGTTGCACAAAAGAAAAGACTAATTGGTTTTGTAATGAAAGAGTGCTTGGCAGGATGGCAATTTGTATTCTTTTTGAGTCATTCTTGACAATAAATGCTAAATTTTCCTGTAGGTGGCAATCTGATTCCCTGCGTTCCCAATTTACAAATCAGTTCCTTTTTGGGAATTTGGTCAGTGCAAGTTACCTCCCATTGACATTACAGAAGATACATCTTTCAAATGCTTGCATAAGGGAATGCTTTATAGTTTCATACAGTTTTTAAGAAAAAGAAAATTCAGAATTAAAGCTTGTCTTCTTTTCTGGAACTGCTGCCTTTTTAAAGAGCCTATTCACGACTTCCTCCTTTTTCTGTTTTTTCTTTTTGCTGTGTGGCTGCCTTTCAGAACTTTTTTGTGCTATTTTGAATATGTTGCATGGGTATTAAACAATGCTGT